TCCCTTCTTCGCGGGGTCTGGCCCGGGGTTTGCCCCCGCGGCGGGACCCGTCCCACCGCCCCGGGGGCCTTTCCCCCCCGCCTCTGGGTTGTCGGAAATCAGCCCGAACTCGCCTTTCCCTCTCCTCCCTTCCCCTTTCCTCCAGGCTCGGCGCCTGCAAATTTGGATCTTGATTTTCTGCTCTTTTTTGGTTTCTTTTAAAGTAGTCCTACAGACTCTAATTTACGAGCTCTCTAAGCTGGTTGTAGACTCCCAATGTTTGCTCCATTTGTAATAAATAATGAGATACTGAGGAGCCAGAGCCTGGGAGTGTGCCTCTCCCGCAGTATTTCTGCTGTAATTGCATCTCCCAAAGGAAAATTCAGTCTTTCCCCATCTTCCTTCAATACTCATCCCGGCACAGGGCAAAGGCAATCGGGTGGTGGGAGGTGGTCGGGGAAGGGGTCTTGCTTGGATAAGAGGTGCTTTGTACAGGTCAGGACCACCGCTGGTCCGGCCCTCCAGAACCAAAGGACGTAATACCAGGAGGCTGCTGCGCTTGGTATTCATTTCTGGTGCAGGACACCAGGTAAAGGGCAACCCAGCGCTTAGAGCAGGGTCCCAGCCCTAGCAGGGGTCGCAAAGTCACGCTTGGCTCAGAAATCTCTGGGTAGGGAGGGAAGAGAGCAGGGTTAAAGTCTCCCCTTTTCCCTTTCGCTCTCCTCTCCCTCTCACTTTCCCATTTCCCGTCCTTCGTTTTCTGATTTTCGGAGAGTGAAATCAGGAAAAAAAACCCCAAACATTTCAAACATATTTATATCCAAGAACCTTATCTCGTTTCTAAATATGACTTTATCTGTATTTTTTTTTTTCGGTGGAGGGAGTTTGTGCCGAAAAACAGCAACGGGGAGACAGGAGAATACCCTGTGCAGCCAGGTTTTTGTGGGGTTTTTTTCCCCAGACGTAACGAAAATGCCCGTTTCTGCCCTTCTGCCGAGGACCCGAGACCCCAGCGCGGGGTGGGCGAGGCCGGAGCTGGCGGGTCCCCGGCCCCCGGGTTTCCCTTCCCCGGTGGGATCCGGTGCCCTGAGCTCTGGGGAAAACTGCCCCAAATTTCGGGGTCCTCCAGCTGTCCCAGTTCCTCCAGAGGAACTGGGGAGGAGGGGAGCAAGGCGCCAATTTTGCAAGGCGAGCTCTTTCTCTCCCTTTATTGTTTTTTTTGTTGTTGTTTTCTTTTTTATTATTATTATTTCCCCTTGATCGTTGCCCCTTCCTTCTCCTCCCCTCTGTGCCACAAGCGCGGCAAAACTGGGTGGAAATGGGCCTTCCCCGGGGGGGGAAAGGAGGGATAGAAGAGAGCTAGCGCTGGGGTATTTTAATTTTTAATTAACTTTTATTTTCCTAGGAATGGCCTCCCCCCGGCACTGCCTCTGTGT